CGTTAGCAGCTGAAGTGGGGGGCGTCGGCCTAGCCTTCCCTTGCAAAAGCCGTGGGCTTGCGTGCACTACGCGGCCAAAGGCGGGTGGGGGGCGGTGTTAGTGGCGGCGGCGTTAGCGGCGTTAGCAGCTGAAGTGGGGGGCGTCGGCCTAGCCTTCCCTTGCAAAAGCCGTGGGCTTGCGTGCACTACGCGGCCAAAGGCGGGTGGGGGGCGGTGTTAGTGGCGGCGGCGTTAGCGGCGTTAGCAGCTGAAGTGGGGGGCGTCGGCCTAGCTTTTGGCCTTGCAAAAGCCGTGGGCTTGCGTGCACTACGCGGCCAAAGGCGGGTGGGGGGCGGTGTTAGTGGCGGCGGCGTTAGCGGCGTTAGCAGCTGAAGTGGGGGGCGTCGGCCTAGCTTTTGGCCTTGCAAAAGCCGCGGGCTCATGTGCACTACACGGCCGAAGGCAGGTGGGGGGGCGGTAGCGGCGGTAGCGGTGGCGGCATTAGCAAGCCACTCCCATCCGGTCACATGTGTAGCAAGCCACTCCCACAAAGGAGGCCATGCCCACCGAGTAGGTTCGAACAATTTTTGAAACCACCCCTGGTATGTATGTATGTATGTATGTATGTATGTATGTATGTATGTATGTATTTATTTATTTCAATTGTTTGTTTGTTTTTTAGAAAATTGTACCTTTTCTTCCAATGTATTTTGGACTTTCTCCTTGAATTGCAATCCCTAAGAAAAACAGCAGTCACTATGCTAGGCAGTTTTGTACTGATACATTTTGCAGAAAGTATTATAGATTTTGTCTTCAAGAAAAAATATTAAAATCAATGTTTATACTTTAGTAAGACCAAATACAGATAAAATAGGAATTTACAAAGGATCTCTCCCATTTGTAGTACCCAAAAGTAAATTCCTACTTATTACTCTGGATCATGATTCATTTATAAGACGAAACTTAATTCAAAATGTTCCAAAAATTCTGATTGCTGAAATATTGCTGATTTATTAAATGTTCTGAGTTTAACAAACAAAACAGGATAAACAATTACTCGTAAACGGTAAAATAAACTGTTTGTACATTTAAAGTTCTGTACATATAAAACTTGAATATGAACTAATCCTGAACTGTCAATAAATCTTTTCATTCTGTTTCTTGTCACAAAAGAAAAACACAATTACAGCACAACAGGGTTCAAAGTGGGATGCAATAAGCCCTGTTTAATCTTACTCCTCAGCCAAATGTTTTCTTTAATTTCATGACAATATTGGCATTTGAGTTAGAGTTACTTCCAACAATTTCAGCACAAAACATCTTCACTCCTTCCTACATTTTTTTTAACTTCTGTGATATCTGATGTTATGTTGTTGCCTAAGCCAACAATCAATCACTTCAGTACTGCTATTTTAGCAACCATCATAGCAAGCTGTTGAAAGACGACTATGAAATATTCTGCATCATATTGTTGACCTCTTTAGAAGCTGGAGTTCATACGTATCTTCATTTAACAACTTTAATGTTTTGTTTAATCCAAGGAATGTACATATGCAAAACTACAGATATTCTAGGAAACAAAAGCAATTGTAACACATGTGCAGTCCTTTCGGTGGCTGATACATAGCATAATACTGCTGATATGTTATATAGCTAATACTATACTTAATTCAAAAAGGTTATTCTATCTGAAAAAATGTGTTTTGCTTGGTAAATGTTCATAGGAAAGTTTGAACAAAATACTGATAATTAAGTATCCCCCTTTGTGGACTTAAGAACAGCTACATACATTCAAAATACATTCCATTTTATCTCACTAAAGTCTTGCTTAATGGTGAGATGGGCAGCATATAAATTTAATTAATACATAAAAAACAGCAGATAGTAGTTTAATTATCAGAAAGAGTGAATGGATCATAATTCTTCCCACTGGGTTTCCCTTCTTAAATATTAAATATATTGCCCTTAATGAGTGTGTTAAAGAGCAAGCAAGTATGTCCAGTAGGACTGTCTTGTTGTAAAGATAAATAGCTTAAAAAATAAGCACTTTTGAGATTCAAAAATGTGCATAATGCTCAGGTAACTGGATCTCAAACTACATACTAAAAATAATAGCAAGCATCACTGACAATATATAAGCATCTCCATTATAAAACAATGCAGCCAACTTTTTTACACCTTAAGCAATAACTAATTACTCCAGATATGAATCAAAGTGTTTATCTTTACTTTCTCATATCTGACAAAGTGAAAGTTTTATTCTGCTACTAATTGGTTTCTATGATCAAATTAAATTGAAGATTTAAAAAAAATCCCACAAGAAACTTTATTAATTAAAGCTAATCAGTCTTATTAGTTAATATGCATGGGTACATAGAGAAAATTGAGTGTGTATATAACTAACACCTGAAAACTACACCTCCTCTCTTTGAATATTCATTTTGTTAATTTTCCTTTAAAATCTCAGGTGAAAACTGAACCATACATTATTACACTGAACAGTTAATTAAAATTGTATTTTCTTGATGACCTAGAAGATAGAGCTCATATGAAGAAAAATCCCACACCAGCCTGTGCTTTAAAGTCTTCATTTACATTTACTGACAGATATGTAAAAAGAGAAAAAGTAGCTATATCTACTTCTATTAGGGTTACTATTTTCTTATAAATTACTGGTTCCTTCAAAAATAAAAAAGTAAAATTTCATTTTCACCATATTTATTGACATCATTGTTGCAGCTCCAGTCTCCCACAGACTATAGTCACAAAAGTTCACTTACATTTTAAAAAAGAGTTATTAAATATATTTTTATAAATTAAAATATGAATAAAACTATTTTAAAAACCTAATGCACAAAATGTTACTTACTGTGGAAAAGGAAATGTACTAGTATATAAGGTTGCACTTTAAAATCCAAAATTTTCACATTTGACATAAAAGTCCCAGTACTGTTCTCCTGCATGCCATGGCAAAAATTCTTCGTCTGTTATTAACATTATTTTGTTGAATTGTAGAAAGCAGGGTGTTTTTGAGGAATTAGTCTGATAGGAAGAGTCTATTAAAAACATGAAACACACACTAAATTAATCTATCAAGCCCCAAATTTAAAATGCCCATAAGAGATCCCTTTCCTGCAGTGAGCAAGAGAAGACAAATTTGCAGTCAGTTCTATAGTCTCTATAGTCAGTTCTATAATCTCTACATAAAATACATAAGTTTCAACCAGGTCTATTAATCATGTTCATTTATCCTTATTACACTAAGTCCACCATATTCAAGGTGAAGGGATTAGGTTATATGGTCATTTTCTTAAAATGCATACAAATTTTATAAAAATTTATTTAATTTCTTAGTAAATATTGAATAGTTCTATAAAATAGAATAGACTGTGACATAATGCTAACCCAAAATGCTTAATAAACAGATATACACATTTTTATCCAAATCTCATTTTGCATTAATGGTTCCTTTCAGACAGACCATTAAATTATGGCATTTGTATAATATGTTTACCCATATTAACTAGTCTAGGGTTTCTTTTATTTCTTTCCTTTTTTTAATTCAAACATATTTCATTCTAGGAGACTGCCTGGACAAGGTCCTGCAGCTTAGTGAACTTAGTTAACTCAACTCAATTACTGTGTTAACATGCTCTTGGGGAGGAAAGCTATGGCAAATCTAGACAGCATATTAAAAAGCAGAGACATCACCCTGCCAACAAAAGTGCGTATAGTCAAGGCTATAGTTTTTCCAGTTGCAATGTATGGCTGTGAAGGTTGGACCATAAGAAAGGCTGAGGGCCAAAGAATTGAGGCCTTTGAACTATGGTGCTGGAGAAGACTCCTGCAAGTCCTTTGGACTGCAAGGCAACCAAACCAGTCACTCCTAGAGTAGATCAACTGTGACTGCTCTTTAGAAAATCAGATCCTGAAGATAAAACTCAAATACTTTGCCTCCCTAATGAGAAGGAAGGATTCACTGGAGAAGAGCCTAATGCTGGGAAAGATTGAGGGCAAAAGAGGAAGGGGACGACAGAGAATGAGGTGGTTGGATTGAGTCACCGAAGCAACAGGTGTGAGCTTAAATGGACTTCAAAGTATGGTAGAAGACAGGAAGGCCTGGAGGAACATTGTCCATGGGGTTGCGATGGGTCGGAAACGACTTTGCCACTAACAACAACATGCACACTGAACTATCCAATATCTAATGTATAAGGTTCATTATGATAATGTCAGAAAGCATGCAGAGTTACTGCCTATTTCTCTCAACAATGACCATTATCACCAACTCTTGCCCTTCGTTTCTTAGGCCAAGGGCATCAATCAAGTCTTTCTTCTATTAGTAATGATAATACATTAAAGCAGAATGTTTCAAAACATATGTCTGTCTGTCCGTCCATCCGTCCGTCCATCGATCTTTACTGGGTTTTCTTGATGCTTTCCAATATTCTGCTTCTTTGAAATATATTGCCTCATTAAATATGTTACCCACTCTGGATTTTGGACATCAGATGGAATCTTCCAACAGATTTTATCCATCTAATTAAATGGAAACTAAGTGATGATTCTATCAGGTATATTCATTATGATTATGTCAAAAAAACAGTTTATCAATCTGACATCATGTCAAACTGGAAGTGAGATTCAAGTAAAGTGCTACAGTATTGGCCAATATTTTTCTATAATTTAAGACATAAACTTAAGTAAAAAGGGAATCCAACTTTGTGTCATCCATAAAAAGCAGATGACACAAATATCACAGCGGAGGCTATAAAATACTTTTGATAGAAAATGGGGCAACATTCCATAAAGACAAACGCAACAAAATGTATCAACCATCAAATGAACAAATGCAGGATGAGATCTAACTGGCATTTCAATACTATACAGAAAGTTCTTGACTTATAATGGCAATTGGAACAGGATTTGAACTTTCACTTCACTGACTAGAAAATTCTGGAAATTTAATCCATACATCTTAAAGTTGCCAAATTTGAAAAACACTGGTCCATATTCTACAAGGAAATGGCTTTGTGGCTAAAATAGTACTAATCTTGTCCAGATCCACATAGAATTTGTTCCTTGATGAAAAGCCAGTGAAAGTATATACAAAGATTTTATGCTATCCAGCCAGTAGCCCAAATAACTTGTTTTCAATAATACCTCAGGGTATGGGCCTATCAATTTATTCTGACTTACTGTCCATCAAATACAGTTGCAAGAAAAGATATGTGAACCCCTTGGGATTGCGTGGAGTTTTGCATGAATTGGTCATAAAATGTGCTCTGAACTTCATCTAAGTCACAACAATAGAAAAACACAGTCTACTGAAAATAATACTACACAAACATTAGATGTTGACATGGTTTAATTGCACATAACATGTAAACATTCACAGTGCAGGGAGGAAAAAGTATGTGAACCATAGGTCTTCTGAGAGCTCTTTTCTGCGAGGCATGGTTCACATCAGACAGTGCTTCTTGAAACCAGTAAATCCAAAACAGGTGTGTGTTTCTAAAGCGCAGAACAGCTGTCAGCAACACATCCAATATCATCACACTGATTGGAGTCAAGGTTGGCTCACTCCTGGCTCCAATTAGCTCTCGGAGAAGTCATTAGGCTAGGGGCTCACATACTTTCTCCTCCCTGCACTGTGAATGTTTACATGTTATGTGCAATTAAACCATGGCAACATCTAATGTTTGTGTAGTATTATTTTCAGCAGACTGTTTTTTTCTATTGTTGTGACTTAGATGAAGTTCAGAGCACATTTTATGACTAATTCATGCAAAACTCCACGTAATCCCAAGGGGTTCACAACTTTTTCTTGCAACTGTACTATATGTTTCTGGGTCTGAAGCATTAATGCTTCATTCCATATTGATTGGAACGGTTCTACTTGGGTTGCTTAACAGAATATCTGAAACAAGCTTTAGCCTATTCTCCTAATGTTCTAAAAAAAAGTTTTTCTCTCTTGGCTGCATTTATAGCTGTTTGTTTAGGAAACTGCTTCTGCATATTTTTGTTTCATAGATCTGATAATATCAATTTTACTTAGAGGAAGTTGCTAGATAAGCTACTTATAGCTTAGATTTATATGAGCTATTTACAGAAAGAGGAAAAAGTCAATTCAGAGAGATTTTTGAAGGCATTATGAAATGCACTAGAAGGGATTAAGATTTAGTTTGCTGCAAAAATCAGTTTAGGAAATTAGGGAAACTGCAAAGTGCCAAAGAAAGGCAGGAATGCCCTGGTCTTTTCTTTATTTCTTTCCGTACTTCTTTGGTAGACAAGAAAGCACAATTTATTTCATCTCTCTCTTTTTATCTTAAAACTAGCACACAGGACCAATCAACAATGACTAAAATATATGAAGGTTTGGAGAATGACTATATGTCAGCAAAATAATGCCTGGCTGTCTTATTTCTCCTTTAGTTACAAATTATTGTGCTGCCTTGCCTCACATATAAAAAAGATATTCCAGTATAGATCCTGACACGTCTTAGTTTCTAATATTTCTTTGCTATGACAAGATCTCCTATCTCAGTGTTGGTTACATGCCTCGCTTTAGCAAGTCATGAAACTGAGTTTTGATTTTAATCCTTTGATCATAACGAATGCAGAAAATGAGAAATAACTTTGCTCTTGTTCTTGTGTGGTGAAGGCAAACAGGATGTTCAAACCAAGAGAAAGGGTAGTATTTAAAAAGATAAGAGTTTTTGTTTGGCTCGAAGCACAGAAGAAAAGAACAGGTAATCCTTGACTTACAATTATAATTGAGCACAAAATTTATGTTACTAAACAAATCAGTTGTTATGTTTTACCCCATTTTGCCACAGTTGTTAAGTGGATCACTGCAGTTAACTTAGTAATACTGTTGTTTATATCACAAAACATGATTGAGAATAGTCTGATATTTAAATAATCTGTTAGCAGGATGCAATATACCTAAGAGAAATATAAATACTATCTATATTTTCAGTGAAGCATGAATTTACAAGCAAAAATAAAGAAAAATTACCTAAATAAAATCAATTATTTTTTTATCTGGTTTTAATGATTGGGTACAATTAGGGACATTATACAGGTGGAATAAACAGAGTCCTCGACTTACAACAATTCATTTAGTGACCATTCAATGTTACAATGGCACTGAAAAAAGTGACTTATGACTGTTTTTCACCATTACAACCTTTGAAGCATCCCCATTCAAGTGACCAAAATTTGGTTGCTTGGCAACTGGTTCATACTTATGACTATTTCTGTGTCCTGAGGTCATGGACCTTCTAACAAGCAAAACCAATGGGGAAGTCAGACTCACTTAACAACCTTGTGATTAATTCAACAACTGCACTCGTTCACTTATCAACTGTGGTAAGAAAAGTCATAAAATGAGACAAAATTCACAACTAATTTCTCACTTAACGACTGAAATTTTGGACTCAATTTTGGTCATAAGTCCAGGACTACCAGGACTATTGCTTTTATATATTACTATACATTTTTAAAATTAGTTTTAACTAAGAATTGCAAATTATTATCTCTTCTAAAACCAATGACCTTCTTAAAGGTAGCCTTATGAATTCAGTAAGACTTACTATAAGTATATATGATTGCCCTGATAGTGCTACAACTTCTACTTCTGGGCATACAAAATCAAAACAGGCAATTGAAGAACAGCAGGGAATAGAGATCCACATCTAAGTAACTCCTTGTGATAAATCAGAGATAGATGGAGACAGCTTCATCTTTTGTCAGTGACCATAGACAGGAAAAGCAAGTAAAAGGGTGTGGAATATGGATCTTAGAGGGCTTGCTTGGTTGCTAATGGGCAGGTGTGAGTCAGCAGAAGCAAAGAACAAGAAGGACAGAAGCTCAGGTATGGTGGTGGAATACAACTGTGCTGACACAAGGACTCTTGAGCATGAACAATCCTGCTAGCCAGGACAGTTGTGGGGCAGATGTAGGCAGCCTTCCCATTGGTCAAGCTTTCTATATTCTGTTGGTATTGGGGATTAGAGCCCTGGAGGTGAAAATACTCCAGTTCACTCATGAAAGAGAATGAGAAAGAGGAGAGAAAAAGAGAGACACATTACCGTGTTTTAGCAAATATTGCAGAATATGCTTTTGGAAAGACTATGTTAGAAAATCTAGTAAGTGTGTGGGATACTTTGTCTGTGCTGTTACAAATTACTGCCCCCAGGAGAGAGATGAGAATGAAGTCACTGACTTTTTTTATTTGCATTTTTATCGTATTGGAAATAGTACTTCAATCAATACATACCGAGCAGATTTTTTTGTTGCAACAATACTTCTGGTTCCTTAGGATCATTCATTTCATTAACAATTGTTGATAATGGCCTTCCACAGTATGTGACCTGAAAATAGGAGACAATATATTAGTCATCTGAGCTGAAAAAAGCTCTTGCAAAAATGTTTCACAATGAGCAGGAGTGTGAATAAAATGTCTCTTGGAATAGCTGCGTCTTTTGCAACATTCATATACTGTAACTGCCTTCAAGATGCATCCAGCTAAGGACAGGCTCAGTTATAAGTTTGAAAACTGGTCCAAAGTCACTTTTTTCACTGCTGCTGCATCTTCAAATAGTCACTAAACAAATGGTTGTAAGTCGAGGACTACCTGTACAAGCTTTGCAAAATATTGTGGTAATTTTAAAAATATGAAAAGAGATGCTTCATTCACAATTCTGTGGGTTTCAAGGCATTTTTTTCAAGACTTTCACATTACAATTAGTCATTGAGGGTTTTATAGGTCTTTTATGATAAATCAAGAAACATTAAATTTTCCAAAATTATAGATATATTTTGTACATTTCCTGCAAGACAAGTATAAAAAAATAAAATGCCAGCATCAAATATAGAAAGTGATAGTGTATGCATTTATTTATTTAATCACATTTGTTTAGGTGCCTGTCTCACATAGTGTCAGGCACCTGCAATCATCCATCTTGATTCTGTGTGGAGTACATCATAAAACAGCCAAAATGCACACAAAAAATCATTAAAACAATAAATGTAAATGAAAAATAAAACAAAAATAAATGAAAACTAGAATGTTGTCCAAACATACAAAGAGTATATACCACTAGTAAATGTCATACAACCATCTAGCAGGCTCCGTTCTGTCATGAGATTCCCAAACTAGAACCGAGTTTTAAGGGCCTTCTGAGAGGCCAAGAGAATTGGGGCCAGCCTTGTCTTGTGGGCAGTAATATGGTATAGTGGCCACGGCAGAGGTGGTTTTTCTCCTAGGCTCCACTCTACCAAACTCCCTGTCTCACAGAACCCATAACACGCACCTCCTGCCAGACCTAACGGTATGGGTGGGTATAACTGAGGAGCGGCAGTCCCTCAAAATCACAGCTGATGCCAGGTAAGGCTTTATAGGTTATAACCAGCATCTTAAATTGGATCTGGAAGCAAACTGGCAATCAATGCAGCTCACATCTGCAGATCTTTAACCATACATTACTGACTGCACTACTGTACTTCGTACCAGTGGAAGCTCCCAGTTACTCTTCAAGGGCATTCCCATATAGAAGTTCATTTAGGATTTGACCAGGGCTTGTGTGGATAAGAATCAAACTGCAGCAATTCTTTTCTGATTTGAGTCAATGATCCGAAAAATTCCATTTGAACAATATGTTCTTTATACTGTATAACAGAATATGCTTTTTTATGCACCAGTAGAGCCTAAACCAATTTTGTTGTACGCATGATGTAGAATGACAATAAAGGTTTTGAACTTGAACTTTATATATACTAAAATATACATTTCCCATTTGAGCTTTATGATACGTTTAGTGTTTCTTTTCCATTTGTCAAGCGTTATTTTGAAGCCCAGCTACACAGCCCACTTCTTAAATTAATGCTATCCACGTTTGCTGAATGCAGGCTGATTTTCACAGCAAGAGTAAGTGGGAACAAATGATTAAGTATCACAATGGATATTCTGATCTTTAATATGTGCACTGTGATGTTACACACATTTGCACAAGGAATAGAACTTTCACAATAACAAGATAATGTTAATTTTCTGTCATTCTGACAAAATCTTTGGACTCTGCCAAAGCTTTTGCAGGTGAGGTTGTGTTACACTTGTGGCATACTATCTAGTGGTTTTCTTCACATACTAATTAGCTCACCTCTCTTCTGAAACCTCAATATATCAATCTTTTAATGCCTGGGCTACAAGAGCGCAAATGTACCTTTATGCTATTTTGTTGTCATCTAAGATGGCAAATCCTCCTGCTACCAACCAAGTCTTGACCTTCACCCAAGCAACTAGTCTCCTTTGAATAGTGTGAAAATATGATTTATTTTTATGTGTTCATTGATTGCTGTGAATTCAATTATAGCAATAGCAGTTAGACTTATATACCGCTTCATAGGGCTTTCAGCCCTCTCTAAGCGGTTTACAGAGTCAGAGTCAGCATATCGCCCCCACAATCTGGGTCCTCATTTTACCCACCTCGGAAGGATGGAAGGCTGAGTCAACCCTGAGCCGGTGAGATTTGAACCGCTGAACTGCTGAACTAGCAGTCAGCTGAAGTGGCCTGCAGTACTGCACTCTACCCACGGCGCCACCTTGGCTCTTCTGTTTTAACAATCACAAATGAGACATTCCAGACCAAAATACTTTTTTAACATTACTGTAATACTCTAGTACATGGGTGTCAAACTTGCAGTGTTATGTTGCAATCAACATTTCCCCTTTGCGGATCTGGGGAGAGCATGGCATGCACATGACACATCCAGCCTGCAGGCCACCAGTTTGACACTCCTGCCCTAATACATTGAAGTTTTCATTTTATTGGAATGTAAAACATTTAATCAAAAAATCTATTGAAATTGATAACTTGAGCAGTAGATTATACCATTATCATCATCATTATTATCATCATACCATCATCATCGTACCTTATTATATACATATTTCCAGCTTACACAAATATCATTTCCTAATATTGCCTTAATCCATTGAACTGGATTTTGATAAACTGAATTGCTTCCTGTTTGGACTTTTCCATTTCCAAGAAGGCTAGCTTTATGTTTGGAATCCTGAAAGAAAAATAAAACAGAAGCAAATGAAAGAATTATAAATTGCCTAAATTTAGCAATAACAATAGCACTTAGATTAACACTTATTGCTCCATAGAGCTTTACAGCACTCTCTGATTGACTTACAATGCAAGCATATTGCCCCCACCAATCTGGGTCCTCATTTTACCAACCTAATTTAAGGGGAAATATACAAATATTTATTTTTAATAAAAATATTTTAAAAGTGATATAATAGAATAATCAAAATAAAATAACTAATGTATAGTTGATTAACCTAAAGGCTCCTGTAAGCAAAACGAATCCAAAATCCACAGTTCCGTGAGTTCCTTCCTCTCTTATCTGTATTTAAAATTCTGTAGCTTAGTACAATTACTAATATTTTGCTTCCTTGGCTTTGGATTAGTTAAACTCAGGATTCAAAAAGATCTTGAAAAACTTGAACAATGGCCTCTATCCAGCAAAATGAATTTTAATGTGCAGAAAGGCTTTACATTTAGGTAGGAAAAACCAAAGTTGTAAGTATAGATTAAGTGACCCCTGGCTCAAAAACAATAACTGTGAGAGGGACCTTAAAGTCCTAGTGGATGATCACTTGAATATGAGCCAGCAGCATGCAGCAGCAGCCAAAACAGTTAATCCTGGATTGTATAAACAGGCATAGAATCAAGATCACATGAAGTATTAGTGCCGCTTTACAAAACCCTAGTAACACCACACCTGGAATACTGCAACCAATTTTGGTCACCATACTACAAAAAAGATGTGAGACTTTGGAAAAAAATTCAGAGAAGAGCAACAAAGATGATTAAAGACCTGGAGACTAAACCATATGATGAATGGCTACAGGTTTTGGTCTCCCTAGTCTAAAGAAAAGAAGAATTAGAGGTGACATTATAGCAGTATTCCAGTTTTGTTTTCTCTGGCAGAGGGTACAGGAGGCTATTGCAGCCAAAAACAGACCTCGGGAACCTATTTAGCTGACAGAGTGCTCGGGCCACCACAAGTGCCCCACTCACCTGAGTCTTGAACTGGCCATACCCACCCCGACCCCCCTGAGGTCAAACACAACCCTGATGCGGCCCTCAATGAAATTGAGTTTGACACCCCTGCTTTACAGCATTCTCTGGGCGGTTTATAATGTAAGCATATTTCCCCCAATGATCTGAGTCCTCATTTTACCGATCTCAGAAGGATGGAAGGCTGAGTGAACATTAAGCCTGTCAGGATTGAATTCTAGGCTGTGGACAGAGTTAGCCAGCAGTACTGCATTCTAACAACTACACCACCAGGGCTCATTCTTCTGTAAAAACTGAAGGTTATTTTCTGTAATATGTATGTAAAGAACTTAATCATTAAGTTAAACTGTTATAATTATATAGAGCTTTGGTAGAATGCAATATTTATTATTAAGATTTTAAACTGTGCATTAATATGCAATTATATTACTTTGAAAATGAATTATTTACCTGTAGTGTGAATTCTAAAACATCATCTCCTGGCTTAATTTTTCCCAGTTCAAGCAGATCTAATAGTTGAACTTTTTTCTTCCTATTTTTCTTGAAATATAGGTCTCTTTCATAATCTTGATTCTTCAAATACTGGGAAGTATTCTGACTAATCATGTTTTGTGGTACATGAGAAAATTGCCCTGGAGATTCTAAATTAACATTAAGTAAGATTCTTTTACGTGGGGCCATGTTATCCTGATCAGTACTAACAAAGCGACATGTGGATTCTAACTCTACAATAGGTTGTATTGAGGAAGCATTGTTCATATTTGAGTTTTGTGACAAAAGCATGTTCATGCAAACATTTTGAGTATCAGTAGATGGCTGACAGATATTATCACCAACAGATGTTGAGTTATCAAGTATCTGCAATCTTGATGTGGCACTTAGGTTTTGGGTTTCTTGTGGTATCACCAATATACAATCAATTTCTTTTAATTGTTGAGTAGAACACATGACAGAGTTTAGAAGGAATGGTGCTGAATTTGTCGCATCAGAGGACTCTGAATTTATTACTTCTGCAGTGTTATATTTTTGCACATTGTTTTCAAATACCAAAAGCTGTGGACCATCTTTCTTCTGACTATTAATTTCTCCATTTTCTCCTGATGTATCTTGAATTCTGTTTGGATGGTCTTGATTTAAAGAGCTATTTTCCATCCCACAGATGTTCTCATGGCCCATAATTATATTAAGACATGGAGCTGTTTCATCAGAAATTCTGTTTTTTGTACTGCCGTTTTCATAAGAATCAAATGTATCTGGGACTTGATTTACTAAGTGTAAAGCCTCTTTTTTTGCATTTTTAAAATTCTGTATTTTTTTCCATAATTCTTTCTGTTTTCGTGCCATAAGCAAGAGGTTCTTTTGTCTGGCTGCAAGGTTTATTAGCTTTTCTCTCAGCACTCCCTGTTTAAAAGATTCTACAGAAGCTCTAAAATCAAATTTTAAAATGTTAATTGAGTTAACCAAGAATACAAGATGTACTGGCATAAATAATTAACCGATATATGGAAAGGAAATAAACAATAATTTTAAATGCAATGAAGTTTTTAAAAAATTCTAAATGTTTTATTTATTTTTTTAAAACAAGTCTTAAGTAATGATCACAGTAGCTAAAATCATTATCTAGATGCTTGTCTAGCATAACTCTTCAATACCTTTTCTGGGAACAGGACAGAGTATATAAATACAATATTTATTATAGATGAATTGTTTTATTTTTTATTTCATAGTTACAGATGTTTTCTTTTATATAATAGGTATAATATAACACAACATTCAAAAAAAAAATTTTCTTCCACTTACCGATATTTCTTAGCAAGCTCATCTCGTTCCGATTTCTGTCTGGCAAGTACAGTATTCAAAGAGTTCTGAATCTCAGAAAAGTCTTGGATGTACAAATCTATTCAAAAATTATATAATTTAAAAAATGGATATGATTTTTTTATCATTTGCAGCAAATATAGTATAATGCTACAACAACAGAAACAAGTTGCAAAAAACTCAATATTCTAAACACCACAATGGTTTTAGCCCATTTTTATTATATAATTTTCCTTACAACTTGATATTTATTTGCTACTTTGAATTCAATGTTTAAAAATAAAAAGATAAATATATTAACAATTGTTCAAATTATACATATAATTTCTCTTTTGCAAAAGAACTATAAATTGACTTCAGTGAGGCTTATTTCTGAATAAATATGTATGAGATTGTGGTATTATTTATTAGAGTTAAACAGCATTTTGGATTCAGTACAAAAAGGTACTGCGAAAAATAACGGTAACACCAGTGGTGGGTTTCAAAAATTTTTGGAACCTCTTCTGTAGGTGTAGCCTGCTTTCCGGGTCCATTGGTGGAACCTCTTCTAACCAGTTGGGTAGATTTAATGAACTGGTTCTACCGAACTGGTGCGAACCGGTAGGAACCCACCTCTAAGTAACACAAATATAGGATATAGCTACATAGCTCCTTAAAGCAACTATATCTTTGACCATGATACCTTAGCTTTCAAAAGTATTTGTTAAACGCTGATGGAAGCTACCTCAGATCAAATGGCCTTAAATTCTGGAGAAAAGTGCCCTACAAAGTTGGGAACTCCTACAAAATCAGATGTTGAATGTACAGTTACAAAAATTCCAACTAAGGGAAAAATGAGAGACATCTGAATGACCAGTGTGGATACATACAGAACTTTCTAAAGTTCTAAACTTTCTGAAAATAAAAAAAGAGAGTAGGTAGGTAGGTAGATGTTTTCAGGTGTATTTATCCATGTGCTGGAGGAGGAAATCACTGAAAATCTGCAGCGCCTAAGACTTGTTTCTGCTGGCACAGCATTTGATCAATGTAATTCTCATCAATCACTGTAATTAAACAGCTTTCCGAAAGGGGGAAAACTTTTTTTGCATTCTGCAAACCTCCCCAAAACGGCCCGTTTTTCACAAAAACAGGCCATTTTTTTAAAAGGCACGAATAGCTTTGGGGGGGGGGCTTGCAGAGCGCTCCGGGGGGCAAAAATGAGCAAAAAAAGCCCATTTTTCACTAAAACAGGCCTACTTTTTGTCAAACAAATTGCATGCATAGCCTTATGGAAGCTTATAGAGTGCTGCTGGGGGTTGGGGGGGGAACAGCCCATGTTTTGCTCATTTCTGTCCTCCCTAGCCCCCAGGAGCTCTCTGAAAGCCTCCATAAGGATATGCAGGGCCATTTTGGTGAAGGAGTGGGGCTTCTGAAGGCAAAAAAATGCTGTATTTGATGTATAAGACGCACCCAGATTTTCAGCCTCTTTTTTGAGGAAAAAAGGTGCGTGTTTTAGTCCAAAAAATACGGTATGTGATTAAGATGTCATATGACTGTTTTGTTCAATGACTACAATCTCAACACTCCCTGCTGTGGTCATCAAGTAAGAACTGTAGGTTGTTAAATGGAGTCCCAGATAAGGAGTATAGGGTGCTTCAAGGGGATGGGGGAGGCCTGGGAAGACCAAGTGCATATCATGTACAAGTATCCATGGTATGGGAACTCTCAGCTGCCCACTCTACAGGGATGCTGCAATTCCCCCAACTGCAAATCTTCCCCTCACCCCCCCACCCCAATCTATATCCTTTTAGTCATTCTGCACAGTGACATTCATCCATGACAGCACTGGAACTGTAGAGGCCTGGGGCCTTCAGCAGTTTCAGCCAGCTGCCACAATCCCCAAGTTCTACTTCAGCTCCAACTCCAGCACTCTCACTGCCACTATATATGTCATTTCAAGCTCATACTGCTGCCTTTTGCTGTTCTCCAAGCTGGCCTCTCATTCCTTCTACAAGCCATGTATCTCATATCTTCTTCAAGCCAAGCCTTTCATCATCATGCATATTTCATTATTTGCCCTCCTATTCTTTTATAGAGGAACAAAGGACAACCATGTGTTAGGTTGTGAGTATAAAGTTGTATCTTTTGTCAAATGACTTTCGGAATGAATTATCATATTAATGTCACTGTCAGCTGTTACAGATGACAGCGGCTATTGCTAAAAGAGATTTTTTTTAGAGTGCTTTGAACATTAGGTGATGTTATCGCCCTTTATTTTGGATGGCACAACATTCTAGGTTGATCCTACAATTCATGTCTGAAATATTCCCGATGAACAGTAGCAAAATTCTAAAATTAAATGTGGTATGTGCCTGTCTTATATGGGTCTCTGATTCAATAGCTCTATAACTTTGATCTGTTTTTAATGTCCATGCAGCATGAGCTAAGCAATCTTCTTCCTGTGTTCTTGGAAAACTCAGAGGAAAAGCTTTCTAACAATACAGAAAAATAATAGGAACAAAACATAGCCTCCACAGCCAACAAATAGCATACAACTTAATCAATCACACAGACAAATCTAAAGGATGCTGAATTGGTCAAGTGGCACACTGTTTCCAACACCTTTTCACCACAACACCTTGCTAATATTCCCCATCATTAACATCATTTCTACATCAGTCTCTATAATGTGAGGTCCAGCAGCTGTTTTGCTAAGGTAAAACTCTGATTTACTACAATGTAACTAATCTATCATCAGTTTATGGAAGACAATTTTTTCATAAGTTAACTGAGATTCATCTCTACCTGCATCTCTTTGGCATTTTAATTCAAACAGCAACAATTTCTCCTGCTTATTTTCTATATCCAGCAATGCTTTGTTGATTAATTCATGCTGTCAAAAGCAAGCCATAGTTAACTTTAATAAAGACAGTTTGCAACTGAATTTTAAAAAAAATACAAATACACACTCCTGATTTGAAGGTAAGCAACTCTTTGGTTATCAAGGACATTAATATAGCACCTGTTTGAAACTTTTTAAGGAATCCAAGCAAACTCAACATATAGAAATTCTGATTATAAGAGTACAATTAAAATGAAAATGTTAGGAAACAAATAGACCCCAAACACCTCCTCAGCAATCAACACCCAGATGAGCAGAGATTAACACTAACACAAACACTGATGATGTTACTTAGTTTGGTGATGAAACATCTACAAAAAAACAACCAAACTCAGGTATTACCAAGGATCCTCCATCAGCATATTTTACACTCCCAAAAGCTGTTCTCAAGCAAGCTTTCTTAAACAAGCTTCTTATGAACTACAATTGTGCCCTTTTGAGAAAGATGCATTGACTAAAGACTAAAACATTTAAAGAATGGTTGCTTGAATTGGATATGTTTAGTTTAATGAAAGGAGGGACCAGGGGTGACATGATAGCAATATCATGGGGCTGCCACAAGAAGAGGGAATCAAACTATTCTCCAAAGCACCTTAGGGCAGGAAAGAAGCAATGGACAGAAACTGATCAAGGGGAGAAGCAACCTAAAACTAAGAAGAAATTTCCTGACAGAATAATTAATCAGTGAAACAACTTGTCTCCAGAAATTGTGAATGCTCCAACACAGGAATTTTTTAAGATGACATTGGATAACCATTTGTCTGAAATGATAGGGTTTCCTGCCTAAGTAGGGGTTAGAAGACCTCCAAGGTCCCTTCCAACTCTATTCTAAATTATAGCCTATATTCTGTTATACTGTCTTTCTGTGAGACCTCTTTCATAACTTCATTTAATGAAATTATACCAACTAATTCCTGTCAAACCAGTTCCTTTAAATATAGCAAAATATTGTTATACTGTTTGTAATATTTGACACATCTCAATGCCCAGAATAATTTAGTTGTACTTTTAGATTTTTATTTTATTTTACTTGGAACAGAAACTGTTTAATTACTTCGTTAAACTGCCGAATTCTGGTCAGTGACCATAATAAAGACTAAATTAAACTACCTAACTTAATTTTTAACTTTGGATCTCATGGGGTTGTTGTTTTATCTGAAGACTGCTTAGATAAATATGTATTCCTATTTCTGCCTCTATTACTGGGACCTAACAAGCTACTTATAATTCCTTCTCTTCTTATAATGAGTTGCTTTGCAATAATGGCTATCTTTAGCAGCTGTTTAAGGAACTGCGATTCTCTTGGGAAATAGCAACTCTATTCCTGCTGTCTTTTAATACTTGAGAGGCAAAAAACCCCACAAATCTTTGCTTTAGCAAAGAGAGTAGTATTTGTTCAAGTTGAACCTTATTTAAAATTATATTCTTATTGATTAACTAAATCTTGTAGTACTGTTAATCTTTGTGTCTTTTAGAAGAGATAGGTTGAAAGGTAGCTTAGTAACATATTACACAATCTTTGTGTTAATTCAGGATCCTCTGGTATAACAAAAGTAACGTGGTTCTACTATACTGTACACTACTGAGATATTATACTTACTGTGATATATTTTTGTCCAGCTAAACTGGACTGTGAAACCAGATCCTCCTTTTCTTGGCAACCATAACAAATAGATTTTCTCCTAAGCCTTGATCTGCACAGCTCTTTTTTTCCTAAATTAAGAATCCATCATCACAATAACAAAACATATAGAAATTATTTAAGCCAAATCAATATATCTGGCCTTTCAATCAACTTCAGATTTATAGCACAAATTATTTTTCTGTTGTTAGAATTCAAGAGAATTCTCTTATCTTATTGCTTATCTTGTGCCATAAACGCCACATGAAACCATAAAGTGTGAAAGAAGATAAAACAGGATAACCATCTGAACGTCTAGGAAAATTAGAGGTCCTTAATGCTAGAATATGTAAAGTACCTAGGAAAATATTCATCTTGTGAGTATGTATGGGAAACAATGATTGGTCTTATCACTAAATATAACTTTTTGATAACTAAATGAACATATAGGCTATTTACCACATCCTGTTCAATCGGCAAGCCATTCCTAACACACTATGGACCAGTGGTGGGTTGCAGGCAGTCCGCTCTGGTACGGGCGTACCAGATCCTGCCTGGAGCACCTAGGACCGTTCCAGTACGGTACTCCGGAGGGCCCGCCCGTGCTACTTACCGTGTTTTAAAGCTGTCAGCATTTCCGCACATGTGCATGGCGCATACAGCGCCTGCGCGAAGCTCCACTGAGCAGCTGGAGCGTTGCGGAAGCTTACAGAAGCGTCATTTGATGCTACAATGCATACGCACGTGCATGTAGGTGACACTGGGGCCATTCCAACCGTACCAACTGGAACGGAATCTGCAACCCACCACTGCTCACCACCGTCCAGGCCTTCCGCGCAGCCCTCAAGACCTGGCTCTCCCAACAGGCCTGAGGATAAGTCTTTAATTTGCCCCACCCGAGTGCTGAATGTTGAATGCATGTTGTGTTTTTACTACTTTATTTTGTTTACATATTGTTTATTTTGTATTGCACCCCCTCCCTAATGTTTGTAAGCCACCCTGAGTCCCCTCAGGGAAAAGAGCGGCCTATAAATCTTAATAATAAAAAAAATACTGCTATGGAAATAACCTGGTTGTCCTTTGATTAGTCCTCAATTAAATTAAAACGTTTATATATTGTAAACATTTTCAGTAGTTTATCACTGCAGGATTAATGAGCATGAAATGTGAACTAAGAGGTAAAGACATGGCAAATAAACAGTATTTTCAATTTTAAAAAGTCAAGGACAAATAAATATACTGAAATGCACTTTATATCTAATGGGGAGTAACAGCAGAACAAAATATGACCTTTTTGCCCAATGTTGCATAGCAGCCTGCACTTTCTGCTATTTGTAGTTCATTAGCACTGGTTTGCAACTCAGGCTGTATGACTGACATATGTACAATAGTAGATAGTTTGATAGTTTCCTTTATTTTGAAAAAATTAAATAAATTAAATTAAAATTAATTAAATAGTTACAATAAATTAAAATAATTATGGAACTCTGGAAAACAAATATTTTAAAAGATCATCTTTAAAATATTGTAAAGAGCACAACAATTTACAATTTGTATGACAATAACATACCAGCATCATCAGCCATCAAAACAGTCTCTTTAACTTTAGTAGCATCATAAGACTTAAGAAGCTCTTTAATTTGGTCACAAGTAGCTTCATCCAGGGCATTTTGCCCATTGTTGTTTCTTTCGTTGGGGTTTGCACCATGGAGCAACAGCAACTGTACTGCCTGCAATGTATTTCTTAACAATTTATTCTGTCAGCTAGTTGGCTGAAAAACTGCTAAGGTTATAAGTACATTACTACATTTACAGTACGTTATCTTATACCACTCTAGATTTTGGCTATGTTTTCACTACCACAAACCAGCAAGAATACATTAGCCTAATGCGTCTACTCAGTTCACATTTATTATTTAATATGTACTGGGAACATAAATAATTAGGTTAAGTAAACTACAATTAACCATTAATAAATGTGTTATAGAAATAGCGAAGTCAACATTCAATCTTTAGGTTCATACTTTGTGCAAGGTGATAGATTGCTCACTATCATGTATTAAATACCATATTTTTTAGACAAGGAAGCAAATTGCTAAGAGGCAGAGGCCGAAGGCTGGGGGCTGGCAGGTGGGCGGGGCTTTGGCAACATTCGCCACATAAGTAGCACAGACATTTCCACCCACTTTGTGGGGGGGGAGTATGTCTTATACTTTGAAAAATATGGTAACCAAAAATTGGTTTGCACAACACACCATATCCTAAATTATGGTTCAAAACTACTGTGCTGGTTTCATACATTGTTTGATTTTTACTTTCATACAGTGAGAATCCAGGCAATATACTTATACATGAATATTGTGAACTAAAATTTTTGTTTAATTAAAACAAATCAAATTATGTGGCAACACTGAAGGAATTGAGGAGGAATATTAATGGTGACAGTTGAATTGAATGATAGAACTAATAGTGTAGTAATAAATGATCCAAATCTCAAAATTAAGTTGAATTCTGTCTCAAAATATCTTACTTTTTTGCTCTAAGAAGTCTTTCCCAGGCATTAGAAATCAAGACCTTGTGTACTTGGTTATGAATCATTTATACATACCATCTGCTACAATTTTCCACACACTACTTTTGTTAAGTCAAAGTCCTTCTTAAAATGGAATGAAACTAGGGTCTGAAACCAAATAGCAAATCCTGCATTAAGTCAAAGTCTTGTTAGCACCATATTACCTCAAAATGGTTGCCTGAAACGGCATCATGAATGGGCAAAACACCATCCAAGCTTTTACTGTTTACATCAGCACCGGATTTTAGTAATTCTGCAATAATCTCAGTAAATCCCCCGTTAGAAGCTTCATGAATTGGGGTCCAACCTAGTAAAAGCAAATTCAGGAATGACACTGACTTTATGCTTTCAATCACATCTTTTTCCACACATATATGTAACCATTACATAGATAATATTTTAAAAATTGTATCATATATTAGCCTAAACTCAAAGAACTGCATAACCTGTTCTGAGATTATAGAATTTGTAGCAGGATGAAAATTAGAAGGCAATGTGTAGTCTAGTCTTAAGAAAAAACAATATCATTCAAAATAATTGTGTGAATATTAAGGACTTTGTGAATACTGTATGCATAGTAGTCCAGTCTTCACTTACTGATCTCACTTGGGATCAGCAACTCCACCACCCAGCAACATGGTCATTAAGTGAGATATGATTGCAAGTTGTGATTTAAGTGCTGGGTTCTAATTGACTTTGCTTGTAGGAAGCTGGCTGCGAAGCTCCCAAATGGTGAACATGAAGATGCCTCAACAGCCGTAAACCAGTTCAAAAACCAGTCATAAAATCACTTTTTCAGGACATCTAAGAGAGGCATGACAATCTGAAGACATCCACAAAATCAAGCTCATGACCTTGGCAAAGACATTTAAAAAATAGCATCTCCTGGGAACCATTATCTTGCTTCAAAAGATAAGCAACTTTATGCTTTTAGAAACTGGACATTAGAGGATATTTTTTTTCCTTTTAAGTAGAAGGGGAAAAAATCCAAGCTAACTTTTGGTGTAAAACTTACATCAAACTTGCAAAATGACGTAAAATGTTATAACACTGGAAGTTTTTTTTTTTTTTTTTGAAGACTGGAACCAAAAATTAGTAGTTGAGTGTTAGGAATGTCAGTAATTATGTTTATGCAGTAGTTGTACTTCTATATTAGCAGTGTCAGTAATGATGTCTATGATGGATTATGTGTAAAAGGTAACAATGAAAGAATGACAGATGTGAAGCAAATTTTATCTGACAAAACAGAGAAAATACCAAAAATGGATCTATAAGCTGTAGGCCTATAGAATGATTTGGAAAAAGATGCTTTATTGGATATACAAAAAAACCTGACTATTTTTTAAGTTTATAAAATTATAATTTTAAAAAATTAAAGGGGAATTGCAAATGTCAAACCAAGAGAATGGCCTGGAGAATGTTTTCATGTTCTATCTATAGAAAAATGTTTGTTAAAGTCTTTATGATGAAATCTATTAATCTGCATGATGGAATAAAGAAGAATTGAAAAGAAATCATACTCTTCGTAAATATTGGAATGAATTAAAGATTAACTGCTACAATAAAAGGAAGGAATATAGTTAGTCCTTGACTTACAATGGTTCATTTAGTGACCTTTCAGAGTCACAACAGCACTGAAAGTGACTTATGACCATTTTTCACACTTATGATGGTTACAATATCCCTGGTCATGTGATTTATATTTGGATGCTTGACAACTGACTCACTTATGATGGTTGCAGTGTCTTGGAGTCATGTGAGCCTTTTGCGACCTTCTGACAAACGAAGTCAGTGGGGAAACAGCCGAGTTACTAATTTAAGAATTGCACTTAACAAATGTAGCAAGAAAATGGAACAAAACTCAGCATATATTTTGGGCTCTATTGTGCGGTTCTTAAGTTGAAGATTACCTGTATAAAATTAGTTTATTTGATCAAGATTAAAATAAGACATTTGTTTGCAAAGTTCTAGCAATGCTTTATAGACTTTTTGCTGACATTAGGATTGAAAAATTAATATTGTATGGATTTGCTTATAGATAAAGGATGAAATATGGGTTGAATAGATATCTATAATCTTACAGGGGATGAAGAGGTCCTAAATTTGTCTATACTTGTAATGAAAGTTTCAAAATCAATGTTTATAAATTTATTTTCTTTATCTTATTCTTTTTTCTTGTTTTCCTTCTACTTTTTTTTGTTTCTCATTTGTCAGGCGCAAACAACCAGACCCATACATATAGAGTTCAAACTAGCTACTTTAGCGTTCTCTGCCTATAATAAAGGAATCTCCCCAGCCTGGTAGCTTTCTACTGGGAAAGACTAGATAAAGCTCTAAGGGATTCCAGAGAAGGTCAGAGCTAGCCCTCTTGTGTTTATGTACTGAGTCTAGGCTGATCCCTCGCTTGAGCCCTCCTTCCATTTCACCCACCTTGGAAGGATGGAAGGCTGAGTCAACCTTGAGTCGGTGAGATTAGAACCGCTGAACTGCAGATAACAGTCAGCTGAAGTGGCAGTACTGCACCCTAACCACTGCGCCACCTCGGCTCTTCCAGCCTTCTGAGGTTGGTAAAATAAGGACCCCAAATTTTTTGGGCAATATTCTGACATTTGTAAATCTCTCAGAACGTGCCATAAAGCATTACTGAACAATATATAAGTCCAAGTGCTATTGCTATTAGTTTTTATTATTATAATAAAAATATTTAATAAACACTACAGAACAAAAGTTACTTTTTCAGTGCCATTTGTGCCAGTGCCAGTAACTTTGAAACTCACAAAACACGGAGTAATTAATCAGACTCTCTTTTCATTCAAATATATTGCTCAAATAAATATAACAACAGAGCTCCACATTAACTAATTATACTGTTAGACATTGTTTAACTAAGTAGATAGCAGCAAAGAAAAGCAGCTGCAATTAAAAATGGGTTACGTCATTTCTGGGCTTTTTCTAGTAGAAAAAGTTTAAATTGGCAGTTTAAATACCAGACCTGCATTATCTTTTTGATTTACACATGCTCCAGATGCTATCAAAGATTTCACTAAAGATAATTTTCCTTTTTTGCAAGCTAAATGCAAATGTGTTTCTCCTTTAGCATTTCTCTTGTTTATTGTAGTTGTTGTAGTACTTTGCTGATAACTAGTAATTGTTTTAGTCTTTTTCCTAGGTTGTGAAGAATCTGAAATAAAAGAAATATTAAATGGTTACCAGAAGCTATGCAAAGTATTTTCATAGATGTACTGCATGAAATGTCCCCAATCTTTTTGAACTGTATTCATGTTTAAAATTTCGAGAGCTTAGACAACTCTGAGAAATGGTGGTCATGGAGGAAACTTATCATTCACAAAATGAATCTTTTAAACCTATCCACTAGAATACAAATCAATGAAGGCCTGCTATTTCCTTTGACCTCTAAGGATGCTGCTTTCCAGCAATTTGTCATAATATTTTTTCAGTAAATTTTCCATGCTCTGAAAAAAGAAAAGCTGACTGAGGAATGTGTGACAATATTCTTCACATGCTGAAATAACTGTACATAGGAGATTAAGATCTCCTCTCTTAGAGTCCATAACAGAAATAAATGGATTTTAGTTTCAAAAATTGAAGCATTTTCAATTGAATATTAGAAGAAATGTCCTATCAATAAAACACTTCAGAGTAATGATGGGGTCCCCTTTATTGGATTTGTTCAACTGGAAACTACTCAGCCATCAATCTGGTATGCTTTAATTTATACACTTTACAAATTAAACAAATTAAAATGTGTGGAGAAAAGTCTTTCAGTTAACAAAATGGTGGGTAACATTATATGGAAGGTAAGGATGTATCATGGAGATGATTCTAAAATGATCACAGGCATAAAACTGAGAAGTGTTGTTCCATCGATTATCAAAGTGATAAACCATGAAGACTTTTATAAGTCAAAACTAGCACTTTCAATTGGGCTCAGAAATTAACTGTGAACCAGTCCAAGCAGGGCAGGAGTGATGTAATATGATTAAATCAACCATTAACAATTCCTGATGCATTATTTTGCATCAGCTTTAGTTTCCAAAATGTTTTTAGTGGCAATCTGATTTACAGCGCATTACAGTAATCCAGATGGTAAGTAATTGAACATAGATTATTGCAGTCAAGTATCCAAGAACAACAGCTGAAGCCCAGCCTAAGTTGGTAAAAGGTGCTCCACGTCACAGAAATCATCTGAATCTTTATTAAATTTAGTCCTCTGACAAAATACAATGTCCTCCAGAAAAGTTGACTCTATTTTTGTGAACTGAGTATCATTAATAAATAGAGGTTAAAGCTAGATAAATTAATCAAGTTAAATTAATAGTAACCATGTTTTCTTTAGCTTAAATGTTGGTTTGTTCATCTCTCATGTATTTATTAACTGCTTACCTAGGATTTGTGGTATTTGTTGTTCTTCAATTTGAATGAAATGTGTGCACCTTGAAGAAACATTCTTCACATTATTGTCAGAACCCAAATCGGCATATTGACAATTTCCATTATACTTGGTCTGAACAGTTTTTAATGCAACTGATTGGAAAGGTATATCTGATGTATAGTTTTCTTTTTCTTTTGCCACGTTGCAACGTATTTCCAGATTCTCTGTTTTCAATATTTATTAAATTAAAAAGTGAATTATTATGCTTTTCTCAAAATAAACAAACTATATAGTACTATATGGTATATTATAATGAACACAATATATTTCTAAAATATTTATAAATTCTGAGATTAAGCACTAGATAATACCTCTAAAAAGTTATTAAATTTTCTCCTGCCTTCCCTGAAAAGAAAAAAAAATAATTTTGAAATATTCAGTGAACTGGTGAAATGTAATAAAAACAAATTCTGGGATAATAATAACTTTATGGATTTAATTCTTATTTTATCGGAATCTTCCCTACAGTATTCCTCTTATCAATTCACAGAGAAAATGAGGGGGCAGGGGAGAGAGAGAATCATAGTAAATATGCAAAGACAGCCAGTTTTGTGTGGTGGTTTAGACATTAGGCTAGAAACCTGGAGACTGTGAGCTCATCTCTCTCTTGGGCACAAAGCCAACTGGATAATCTTGGGCCACTCAATCTTTTTGTTGCAGTAAAGAGGCAAGTGCAAAACTCTTCTGACATCTTTCCAAGAAAACTGTAGGAAATAGTCCAGGCAGGTGCTGCCTTTGTTTCAGTAAGTGGAATGATTGGTTGTGTGGTTGTATCATGATTGGTAGATTGGTGCTGATTGGTGCTGGCTGTGTATCCATTGTTATTTTGTGTTGTAATGGCCTGGGTGGTGGGTAAGGCTCGTTTGTTAACTATGTCTGGTAGGCGGGAGGTATCATCAAGTTTATTCATGTTGTGGGGGTGTTTCTCTATTTCTATAGCTTCCATAATTATTCTCTTGTTGAAGTGTTCTGTTTTGGAGATTAACCTGGTTCCTTCAAAATTAATTTCATGTCCTGTAACTTTACGGTGCTGGAAAAGGGAGGAAGTTTTTTCTTTTTTTCGTATTGGCTATTTCTTGGCTATTTTTTGGTCAGTATTGAAGGCTGTCTTGATATTGTGTTTGTGGAGAATTTTGCTGATTTTATCTGGGGTGCCATTAATGTAAGGGAGGAGGGCAATGCCGTTGTCCTGTTGTGTGTCTTTGTTTTTGGGGGGAGTCTCCCTTTGGATTAGGTTGGTAATTGTTTTTCTTTGGAATCCCTTGGAGATTAATACGTTTGTGAGAGTGTGTAATTCAGTTTTCAGGTGGTCTTTGTTGGCTAGGCATTTGGTTCTGGAGATGAGGGTCTACAGAGTTGATCTGTGCAGGGTGGTGATGGGATGTGCATTTAAGTAGCGGTTGGTGTTTGTGTTTTTCCAGTAGATGGTGTGTCCTAGGGAGCCATTGGGTTTTTTGTAGATTAGAATATCCAGAAAGGGAAGTTGGTTGTTTGCTTCAATTTCCATGGTGAACTGTATTTTGGGGTGTAGGCTGTTGAGATGTGTGAGGAAGTTGTCCAGTTTTTCTTTCCCGTGTGCCAAATCATGAAAGTATCATCAACATATCTAAGCCAGAGTTTGGGTTTGTGTTCAGATTTATCTAAGGCATTAGTTTCAAAATGTTCCATGTATAAGTTTTCAATGATGGGTGAGAGGGGTGATCCCATGGGTGCTCCTTCTATCTGTTTGTATCTTTGTCCATTATGGATGAAGTATGTGTTGGTTAGGCAGTGGTTGGTCAGGTCCAGCATGTGTTTAGGGGGGTTGTGTTTGTTCTGAATAGCTGTCAAGGCTTCTTTTATAGGCACTTGGGTGAAGAGGGATATGACATCGAAACTCACGAGTAGGTCGCTGGGTGGTAGGTTTCGTTTCTTTATTGTTTCTATGAAGTGGAGTGAGTTTTGTACATATGAGGTGATGGATTCTGCGTAGGATTGGAGTTGTTTGGCGAGGAATTTGGCAAGATTCTGTGAGGTGAGCCTATGGAGCTGACATTTCAGCAAGGTCTCACTCGCCGTCCCAAAACCCAGCCTCAAGATGGTGAGTGAGACCTCGCTGAAACGTTGCCAAGACAATCTCAATCTTACACGGGAAAAGACCTGAATACAACTATATATATATATATATATATATAAAGACTTGTGATTACTGATCTTGTGGAGGGGAAAATAAATGAGCTAGTAGCATGATGATAACCAATTTTACGTACATGACTATACAAGGCCATGTTTGAAAATCAAGCATAAGTAGAAGCAGTGTTCAGCATTCATCTCTAGTTAAATAAGGGACTGTGAATATGGAAGTTGCCATGTGTACAGTTTTTTCCTCCCTAATCCATAAAAGCCCTCAAATAGAACAAATTTTAATTAAGAAATAACTCTACCTAACTATTCAGCTATTCAATGACAAGAATTGGGAAAAGGTAGAAACTGCATTTATTTCCTTTTATTTTGCATTCTTAACCTTTTGATTAGGCAACTGGTGGAATGTCCTTTTCTGAAGAAGCCTATTCCACTGTAATATAAGGTATCTATTTTAATTTATGTATTTACAGGTAGCTCTTGACTAACAACTGGTTGTTTAATGACCATTCAGTTACAATAGCCCCCTCTTCCAAACTCCCTATGGACTACTTGAATTTCAAATATATCCATGCTGCTCTTAATTTTAAAAAATCCATAGATAATTTACAGCACACACACACACACACACACACCCAAAAAACCAGAAATGAACAAGTAACAAAACTGTAAATAAACAAAGCCATTTTGTATAGATTTGGAACACATATACTCTGCATATATGTGCGTTTATATGTAAGCAAATCAGTTACCTTGAAATTGTTCTTGTCTAGCATATGTAAAATCAGAAGAATATTATTCTTTATCTTACTATCATTTTCTGTTCTCTCAAAAACATTTTTTCATCCTCTTGGACTTATCATTGCATTCTCATGTATAACAAGAGTGTAAAGTCTTACCATGACTTTTCATTGGAGTTGTGAATGTCAGGGCTTTCAGAAATTTCACCTCTATTAATATCCTGAGAAAATGTACTAGTTAAAGATATTTCCATGCTAATTTGAGCTGTTTGTTCATGATAAATTCCAACAGCTTTTGGGGTATTTTTATCTGGGTTTTGGGCTGCATTTAAAATATATCGTTCTAAAAGAATTCTACAGTCTGAATCTCCCACACGTGCAATTCCTTGTACCACTAAAATGGTTGTGCTTTTTGACTGTAGTAAATTTTATTTTAAATAAAAACTTTTTTTTTCAGTTGTAAACATTCTTTCAGAGCCTGCTCATTTATGTTTTTATGGCAGTATACAGTCATATCCGTACAAGCTAAAGAATGCATGTATTTTTCTGGTAATCTATTTTTTCATTAGTAGATTTTTTACTTCTCTATCTCTCCAAGCAAGACAACTTTTTAACACGTCTGAATGTTGTCATTTATAGTAGCAGCTTTAACGTGACCACAGGATGCTATGACAGTCATAAATACAGGCTGGCTAGCAAGTGCCTGGATTTTGATACTTAACAGCAGGGATACCATAACAGTTATTACACGTGAGAACCTGTTGTAAGTTTTTTTTTTCAAAAATGTTTTTATTAAACTTTAAAAATACAAACATAAAAATTAATGCAAAGAAAAATATAAAAATAAAAAGTGCAGAGAGAAAAAGACAGGAGGAAAAAATATAAAGAAAAAAAATCTGCAAGGAGCCTCAGGAACTGTGTACTGGAGCAGCTGGTGAGCCATTCAGCTGGAGGATGGCTGAAAAAGCAGCTGTTTTGGAATTTAGTTTTCAAACTGGCAATAATTTGTGCCTTTAATTTCTTAATCATTTTATGGGATTATTATTTACTAGCTAAAACTGCTTCTTTCTAGTCACAGTTGAATGGAGCCGTGAGTGCATGCACGATGCTTGCAGTAATAGTAGCAACCCCACAGCACTCGCAGCTTCGATAGTGGCGTCCGTGGCAACAGTAGTGGCCATTCAGTGACAGTAGCACCAGCGGGGGATGAGCGCACATATACACGTGTGCACTGGCCAGTAACTCATGTGGACCGATGGCCCACAGGTTGGGGAACCTTGATGTAGAGAACTTAACTACATCTTTGGAATACAGATCTAACACCGATCTTTATGATGATGATGGTTTAAATACAATCCTCTCAGTGAAACAAGAGCTCCAAGCAAATCTACAATTCAAGACAAGTTTGGGACTTTTTCTTCATGGATACTAACAAGGTTGAGAATTCTTTGAGAAAAATAGATTTTTTAATTAGATAGGCATTTCAGAGATTTTATTCTATGAGGATGAGGATAAGGTGAAGGTAATGACTTAAATTTAATGAGCTAATTGGAGTTAGGACGGATTTTTACAAGTCTGATATACAGTATGTAATTTAAAGAAAGCTCTAATGTAGTCTTGTGCTTATAAACAGGTCTGAAAATGTTTATATACACACATACACACACAATTCTTGAGTCATTCTTACAGTTTGTAAAATATTATTGAATTATGTTCAATTGATTTTAGAAATATTTTAAAGAAAAGTCTTAAAATGGATGTTAAAAAAGGTTGTCCCCTTTAAGGTTAAAAAACCTGAGAGAGTGTAGTTAAATTTGTTAATATAAATGACGACAGTATATAAAGACTAATAAGTACTAACATAAATATATATGATTTCCCACAAAAAGAAAAGAAGTAGAGATATTTAAATTGATTGCTTTATTTAAAACAAAAGAACATACCTAATTTTGTTTCTATTTGGAAATCACTTTAGAACGACTGTTGACTTACCTGAACGGTCCTTCTATGTGTGCTGCGAGGGGAATCCAAGCATGGGTTAACTTTGTCCATTAGCCTAGAGACTGAGTTACGTAATTGTTGACCACGCCTCCTCTGACTGGGATAGTTCAGTTTTGTACGAAGGCTCAGCCGATCCAAGAGAAGCAAGAGAATTAGCAGACAAGAAGGTAAGTACGTAAGTGAACACAATGTGTGTGTGTGAGATTGAGACAGTGCCAGTGCCCGCACCAGCCAAAGCCAAGAGTGGGTTTGGATTCCCCTCACAGCACACATAGAAGGACCGTTCAGGTAAGTCAATGGTC